CAGCTAGCTCGACAACAGAACCGTTGGCCGGAGGGAGCGCTTGATGTCAATCATCATGCAGCAACGCGTGGTCATGCACACCATCAACCACCTCAAGTCTATGACATGGATGCGTTTCGAACAGATGACCCCGATGCAGCAAGAGTTGGGCTGGGTCGTCCTAGTGAACCTTCTGCAACCAGCCGACCTGGTGATGACTCCAATAACGCCGGCGCCGGATTTGCACCTGGTGGTAATGTAGGATTTGGTGGATTCAATGGATGGAGGCCCGGTAGCGGTTTTGGACAGGGAGCGTTTGGGTCAAGTGACTGGATTCCAAACTCCGATGACTGGATTCCTAAAACCGGTGGAACAACTGAGACATTCTACGGCCCTGTGGAAGAAGCAGCTGGAACAGACACAACAACAGCTAGCCCAGGACGTTTCGGTGATAAACTCACCCACAATGTGAAGACGGCGGCGGAATCCAACACTGTCTTCGCAGGAGATCTTGGTGAGCATCAGAGCTCATCAGCAGCGGATCGGGACTCTGTGGATGTCAAAGACACAGGGGGAGACTACGTGGTGGCCCTTCCCACGTCTTACAAAGGCGGTCAGTCGAAGGGACGCTACCCAGCCGCTCGGCCAGGCTCTCACTATGGTGAGAAGTCCAAGGGACGATATCCGGCCCGCCGACCTGGCTCTCATTATGGTGAGAAGCCTAAGGGACGGCCTACACATGGCCACAAGAGCAAAGGAACTCAGGGTCGTTTTCCCGCAGCTAGGCCGGGTTCACACTATGGAACTAAGTCCAAGGGGAAGTACCCAGCGGCGAAACCTGGGTCTCATTATGGCAGTCGACCTCAGCACAGGCCAAAGGGTCATGGACAGCGACTGAAAGGTCACGGGCAGCGACCAAAAGGTCATGGACACCGAGTGAAGGGTCATCGAGTAAAGGGCTCCGCGCACAAGTCAAAGGGCCGATACCCTGCAGCGCGGCCATCCCACTACGGCCAGTCCAAGGGGAAATATCCCGCCGCAAGACCTTCATCACACTACGGCGAACCAAAACCTGTGTGGTCTGAACTCGCAAGACCGGTGAGACCACGACCTGGCTCGTGTCGCTGTGAGTCGTATAACCACTTCGGCGCGGCAGTTGGGTCGACTACGCTACTGTTGAACGCTGTGGTGTTTGTACTTCTTGCTATCGCCAACGGAGGAGGACTGGGTCGTGATCTGGCCGGTTCACGTGAAGCACCTGCTCTTCCTCCCCTCAGTCCGGAGATCTCTCACCAGGCGCTGAGGTTTGCTTGTGATCTGATGGGCTTCACTGAACCGGACCTAACCGGACATGATAACTTCAGACCAACTGAGAACTCTGACTTCCCGACGACGAGTTTGAGGCCAGATGGAAAGCAGAATGTCACCGTAACGATAGCTGAGCTGTTTGGAGAAGGTGGTGTGCAGACTATGGGGAGTGTGAACATGTACGGTGCAGAAGTAGGTCTGCGAAGAAACGGTACTGCATCAGAAGAAGACGATACAGTGCCAGGCGTTGTTGGAGGAGTCTCAGGTCCGGGAGCTTCTACAGCAGCGGGTTCTCAGACGTCCATCGGTGGTCAGAGCGGCTTTGGTACGGCTGCTGGAGCCGGTGCAAGTTCACAGGCTGGACTCGAAGAGGATGCTGGGACTAGCGTGACATTAGAAACTGCAACCACCTACAGTACATCACCTTACCTACCTCCTGAAGTGTCACCACCACAGGGAAGTGCTTCCAGTTCTCCTTCTTCGCCTCCAACAATTGCTGCGCAAACTTCGTCACAGCCTTTATCTGACACTACCAGCACCACCAGTACTTCTTCCTCTTCCTTCGGATTCACTCCAACACCGGGTGGGTCCTTGGTTTCCACTCTTCCAACATCCGTACGCCCCGAGGCTGCCCAAGTCTGTCAGGGTCTCTGCATCGAGACCGTCCACGGTGTGTTTCCCATCGGAAGTCAGCCGCCTGCCGATGCTGGAGGTCCCATCTCAAGCCTGCCGAAGCCGGTGGTGACCAGCAGGCCAGACGGCATCGTCACCATCTCCAGTTTTGGCCAGGTCCTGCCGGAAGAGCAAGTAGTTTCAATTGGTGGCCAAACGAGACCTTCGGCATCTTCTTCGCCCTTGGCACCTACACAGTCTGTATTCCAAGAACGACCACCAACTGGAGATTCGACCTTCTCGAGTGGTTCTGTGCCGCAGCCTGGGGGATTAGATGGAGATCAAGGCTCTTTTATACCCACCAATGTGCCACTGCGACCGGGAGGTCCTAACTCTGGAGCTTCACCATCAGCTACCCCAGGATCTTCCACGATTCCAATTTCAAGTGGAAGCACGCTGGGCGGAAGACCATCCGAAGTGACAGATCCTGCAGGAATCCTTACTGACGAAAATCTACCGACTATGAGTTCCAGTTTCGGAAGACCTCAAATACCAACTGTGCCGACTTTAGAGGAGCTATTTGGTCTACAGGATGGTGCTATGGCCGACACTGATCAGCCTTCTGCAGAGATGAACGTCACCGATGAAAGTGGAATGACCACCTATGTTATCCAAAACCAAACAATCATCACCGCCAAGCGGCCACCGGCGATGCAGAATCAAGGCAGTCTTCCGTCGTCGGTCCTTGAAGCTCATCCTCATAGTGAACCATCGGTCCCGCCACCAACTAATGTTGCTCAGCCTGAGCTTCCTCCAGATGCTTCCAGTCTGTTGCAGAACCTGCTTGATGCCACGATGATCGGTAATGAAGTTGAGACGCAGCCTGGTGGATTTGGGTCGCCCGCTGTGCCAACGGTGTCAGCTTTGGAAGGTCACTCAGTGCAAAGTGAGACCGGCGAGACGATACCCTCAACCCCGGAAAGCGAATTGACTTTGACCATCACAGATCCAAACGCAGTTGCTCCAAATGTAGATGACACAGAAACACCATCTACATCACCTACCCGAATGCCTGCGTCATCATTTACTCGTCCTTCAAATACAAACATCAACATCAACATCAACACAAACACAAACTTGCCCCCTTCGAGTGACCCATCATCCGTAGCGGAGACTGGCTCCCCTACCGAAGATACCGCCGCTCTCGACAACTTTATTACCGTTCCAGGAACGTCACAAACTACTCCAACGACCACTGGTGAGCCTTCCGTCATGAGCAGCATCATGGGCAGCATCACGTCCATCTTGTCTGGCTTTATGGGCGGAGGAAGCGCTAGTACAACACAAGTGCCAGTGCCTGCACAAACAGGTACATCTGCGTCACCAAGCCCAACATTACCGTCGTCTTTAGAAGGGCCGTCAGCTTCGTCAAGCTCGTTCGTTTCTACATCCACGTCATCAACATCCTCTGGGACCTCATCTTCAACCACAACCTCAATATCATTTTCAACCTCCTCCTCCTCAGCTTCTCCCTCTACTCAAGGCTCAACAGAAACGACCCCATCAGCGATGTCATCGGACCTTTCCTCTTCTTCTCAAGACTCAACAGTACCTTCGTTACAAACGGTATCGTCATCAACTTCCTCATCCACCCAGGACTCAACAACAACTTCCCAAACCACCATGTCGTTGTCAAATTCTTCATCTACTGGAGACTCAGCAGTACCTTCCTCTCCTACGATGTCAACGTCAACCTCAGCACCGGTAACCCCTCCTCCAGTAGGAAGTGTTACTCCTGGCTCCGCTGAACAGCCGACTGAGCTCACTACATCCCAGGTGGGTATCGGTACGTGGTTTGAGGCCGAGGGTCCTTCTCTTCCTCCCGGGTTTCCTTCGATGCAGGAGATCCTTTCTCAGTTGGGTGAAGTAGAACATCAAGACCCAATAAGGTACCCTGATGGGACGTTTGGACTGGAGATCAAGCCAACCATTGGACTGGAGGAGCAGGAGGAAGAGAAACAGCAAGAGCATGTGCAAGAGTCAGAGCTGGAGCACAGAACTCCACCGCCACCTACGAGGGTCACTACTCCGTCTCCTACGACGGCTTGGAGTCAGTTGTACACATTCAACGATCTAGGGTTCTGGAAGCCAGCTGCGACTACACCGTCAAGTGTTCTGTCACTGAAACCCACATCGCCTCCTTCGTCAACAGCAAGCGTTCAGTCGTTGAAACCCGAGCAAACGCAACCTCAGGCATCTGACGATTCAGCCTTGAAGCCCACCTCTTTCCCATCATTGTTGTGGTCATTGAAACAGGGTGTGAACCAGCCACCAGCTACGCTTGATAGCCTGACAAGCACGCTTTTGGGAATCGACCAGCCTGGATCTGCTGTCCAAATCCTTCGGCAACCACCGCAGCAGGCTGGAGTGTCACAAACAGAAAGCGATATAGTCTTCATGGGACCTCCGCAAGAGTGGGAACTTAATAGTCTCTTCGCGACGATGAATGCCGAACGACCGACCACTGTGGCACCGGATGAGAACGATGTCACCATCAGTATTCAACAGATTGATCCGAACGCACCAATGATGATGATGCCCGGGCGACTCAATGTAACGGATTCGCCAATCATCTCTATATCTCCGCACAGTCCTGGAGGTGTAACGCAGCCTTTGACAGCACCGCAGACATCTCTTGGAGTGGGGGCGAGTGATGGGAAGGTTACAGCTCCGGTTACTGTAGCTGCTCCTCCGGTTACGTCGCCGCCGCTAACGACAGAGGGAAGGCCACATGGGGAAACTACAGCTGGACAAGAGCCACCTTCAGCGACAACTGCATCTACGGGATATTTGTCTCCGTCAACTTCTTCAAAGTATCCATCGACTGCGTCTTATTCTTCAGGCTCTTCATCGTTGTCTTCTGGTACTGCAGCGTCTTCAACCACAGCCAGTTCCTTGGCGACTTCTACAGCTAGTGGTGAGCTTGGGCAGAGCATTCCTGGATTTATAGCGTCACCATACATCGCACAACCACAACTAGCGGAAGATGCCGCCACTTTCTCCACTGATGCACAAGCTGAGATTGTTGTGGTTGACGGCAGTGGTTCCCAAACTATGTCTGGCTCTGACCAGACCCCAATCTCTACAACAGGAGCAGCAGCAACTACTCCAGCTCAGACGACACAAGGTCCATACTCTTCCAGTGGCGTGACGTCAGAGCCAGGATCTCAAAGCTTCTCTGCTTCACCAGCTCCTGCACCAAGCTCCTGGTCCACCACCTACAGTACCACGGTGAATGTGCAGGCGAATGTGGTGCATGACGATACTGACAATGATCTGATCTCCAGCCTTTTGTCCAACACCTTCGACCCACGGCCTTCGACCACTGATGAGCCATCGATTGATTACGACTACTACGACAGTACTGAAGGCCCATCGGATTTCACGGATGTAGCCTTCAACTCCGGGGGCATGTTATCTGTTCCTTCATCTTCATCTTCATCTACGTCGTCCTTTACAACGCAGCCTGAGCCTCCGCCCATTACCTTCAATGCCCTCGGCTTCTGGAAGCCGACCAGACGTCCGATCGCCTTCAACCGGCTGAAGAACAAGTATCGTCGGCCTTCAACAACTTCAGCCCCAAGCACCACCACCGAGGCTCCTTCCACTGAGACCGAACCGCTGTGGGTTTCTCCCCCAGCTACAGTCACTACTGTAACACAAGATTCCCTGCCAGGTCTTCTCGGCACCCTATTCGCCAGCATAGTCCGTAGACCCCCCGGCACAGGCCGAAGACCTCCTGGTTCCACTCCGTCCAAGATTTCTCCACCGGTTGTAGTAGAGGACGGAACAACACCCGTTACTGCACGTCCAGTGACTAGTCAGGAAGGTGTCAGGCCGTGGTACATCATCGGACCTGTAATGACCCCCTCCGAAGACACTGCAACCCAAGGAGTCACGAGATTCCCTGGTGGAGTGTCCTCAACGCTTCCCATCGCGTCTTCCGGGACTGTGGCAGCATCCGGAGCGACTGCCGCTTCAGAGGGCCCATCTTACAGTACGTCTAAGATTGCGGTTACGGAGAGTCCGACGACTGTGACGCCTCAGTTCAACAAGTATGGCTTCTGGAAACCTGAAAAACGTCCTTACCACAACACCCTGCTGAGGTTGAAACAGAAGTATCGGAGACTGACGTCAGGGGGAAGAGAAGGACGTGCCAAACGTGATGCTCATGAAGGTGATGGAGATAATGACAGAAGGACTGAGATCTCGGATGATGTGGAATACAATCACGAAAAGAAAGTTTATCACAGGCACGGCAGGTCTCTGTACGAAGAAACTATTCATCGAGATGGGAAATCTGAGATCGACTCTGCCAAGAACCAGGAACAGATCTTCAATGTGTTCGAAAACAACACTTCCGACGCCGTGGCTAAATACATTCTTTCAAATCACGCTGCATACTTCCCCAGTGTCAACCCAGACGACCCCAGTTTTCCCAGCGACGACGTGACATCATATGATGATGACCCAACAGCAGACGACGATGTCACCTCTGAAGTCACCTGTCGACTTCTTGAAAGTGTTGGACGAAGTCTTCACGCCACTCCCGACACACCACACTCAGCCGCTGCTGCTGCTCGCAGCTTCCGAGCCTCCCTTCGCCGCCAGTCCCGTTTGAGGCGCTTCTCCGGCCGCTGCGTCACAGAATGCTGGCTGGGTACTGTCGGCATTCTCGGCACCGTCGGAGGTCTGGCAGCGTTGACAATACCAGTCTACGCTCTTGTGGCAGCATCTTTGGCGTCATCAAGCAGCGCGGCAGCTGGAGGAGCTGCTGCAGCTGGAGGTGGAGGTGGAGGAGGAGGCGGAGGAGGCGGAGGAATTTTCCTCTTCCCTGGAATCGTCTTCGACGAACCACTGACCGGCCCAGGCACTGCACCAGCTCTAGGAAACGAAACGGGAGTACCCGAGCCCATCGGACCGGAGGTCGTAGTTCTTCCGCCCGGGTTCTTCCCTGTTCCCGATGGCGCTGCGCCTCCTGCACCTCCTGCACCGCTGCCTGGTGTTCCGTCAGGTCCTTCAGCACCTTCAAAACCGGCGGCACCAGTGGGTGCGGTGGATGATGCACCGGCTCCGCCTGGCTTTGTGCCTGCAGGACCGCCTGGAGCGCCTGGATCAGCACCATTTGGTGAGTTGGGTTACATCTAAATCCATTGGTTTGATTAGTTAATGTGGGTGGTCTCTCACTGTAATCTATAGGCAACAACCATACGATATTTGTAGATCGATTTTGTCAATCTTTTCATGAGGATGCAATTTTTACGGAAGGATTGAGGAGTTCGTGTGAATGAGCTCTTGTGCATCTGTAACTCTAAAATTTCATGCTCATTGTGAGGTAGTCCGTTTTGCTCAAGCTAACAACACTTTTCTCACTAGCCTGGTTTCAGAAGTTAGCAAGAAGCACTTCCTCAGTGGTGTGCTGTTTTTACTCATCTGATCTTAAATCAGATCGTTTATTCTCATCGTTAATTCTAGCCATGTCTTTTTTCCCCACCCAGTTCCAGTATTTGCCGCTGCTGAGGCGGAGGACTACGACTACGACTACGGCCAGGATCAGGAGGGAGGCGCCGACTCCGGGTTCTTTTTCCCGGAGGACGAGAGCGCGGGACCTTTCTCTGAGGGACCCTCAGGGCCGCAAGGTCCTCCCGTTCCGCAAAGGCCTCCTCTCAGGGATAAACCAGGTGAGAGCGAAAGCGGTGGATAGTATTTTGAAATTAATCTATCAGGGCCTATGGGTGTGTCTTTTCTGTATGGGAAACTAAGGGCTTCTATCATCTGTATTCACTTAGGGCTACTTGTGTTTCAAATGAGCATATTAATGGATATCGTGTGTTATCAGACTGTGGTCTGAGTTATTTGACTGCTAATTACTGTCGGATGCAGCTGATGATCTGATGCATACGCAATACGCATTGCCAATAAAAGTAAATTAAAATGGTTAACGTCACTCTTCAGTGCACTGGCAATTCATTTCATTTCAGTGATCACTGATCACTTTATTATGATGCTTCAATTAAAAGCATATTTTGCCAACATTGGCCTCGACCTTCGTAATCTACATGTTGGCTGCATTTTCCACGTTCTAAGACCCACTGACCACTCACACTTCACAGAGGCCGGGTATCCCGACGAAGACTCTACAGACGGCGTGTTGGGTGACAACTTCAGTCCTGACGTCACCGACTGCGGCAACTTCAGACTCTGCATGATCCACGCCAGTAATGGAGAGAGCAGCACCAGGTCAGTGGCATTTCTATGTGTGTATGGGAGTGTGTGTATGTGTGTGTGTGTGTGGGGTGGGGGGAGAGGGAGAGGGGAGGGGTTATATGGATAATGCGGCAACTTTATGTTCCGTACGTTGCATTCCAGCAGTGCGGAAATTAATATCAGGATAGTGACCTAGCCATGGATGAGCAAAACGTGCGATGGTAAGACGGATAGCCGGAGAGCTAACAGCTGGCGTATATCGAAAAGTTGATAATAGCCAGACAGCTGGTATAGTCAGCCGCCCAGCTTCTGGTTTGGTTTGGTTTAGTTTGCTCTAGATGCAGATGATTTTTCTCTCGATAAGGCTTTTGGTAATGGAAGGGTACAGAGACTATTTCTGCATTATGAGCTCACGAATATTGCATCACGTCAAACGTACCCGGGTCATGTCAATTATTCCTCCACACGCCCCCACATTGTTTTTTCAGTCGCAGGTCATGCTGAACCCTGCCACCTCTTTCACCATACTTATTGCCATTTGTTCTAGAAGACCACCCACGAAATACACATAACTTACAGCTAACCGTTAGTCTGGAGTTGCGAACATCTGCTGCGGCTAGCCCAGTCACGCTGCACCTTGCCACCTCACCTCAACACCAGTTGGCTCTTAGATAAATCCAGCGCGACCCGTGTCACGTCCCGCGCCCTGATAGTGTCACGTCTAGTCAAAGGGTTCGCTGCAAAGTGTAGATGACCTCTTGGTAATGCTTGTCGGCTTTGGAGGGTCAAAGGGGTGGGAGGAATTGCCAGCATGCAGCCGAGGTCAGTTTTTCTAGGTCGAGTCATGGGGTGCAAAAACGGGACTGGGTGACGTCGTGTTGGGGTGGTGATGTCATTTGAGGATTAGCTGATGACATGCTAATTCATGGGCAATGTGCTGCTTAGTGACCACTGACCAAGGCCTAATGTTTGACATGTAGAATAAGCTCCACATGTATAATACACAATGCGCAATAACTACATGTACAATTTATGTACAATTATGTACAATATACTATCCACCGTCCACCGTCCACAACCCACTGACCAACGTCCACCGTCCACCGTCTGCACAGTCTGCCGTCCACCGTCCACCGTCTGGCGTCCACCGTCCACAATCCACAACCCACCGTCTGGCGTCCACGGTCCACGGTCCACCGTCCACCGTCCACCGTCCACCGTCCACCATCCACCGTCTAACATCCCCCTCCACTGTCCACCGTCCACCGTCCACCGTCCACTGTCCACCGTCCACCATACACAATCCACCGTCCACCATCCACCGTCTTCCATACACCGTCCACCATCCACCGTCTTCCATACACCGTCTGCCATCCACAACCCACTGTCCACCAGCGAGCGCCTTTAGGAATCCCGTTTGAACGCCCAATTAACCGGCCCATCTTATCAACAAGTCCATCAAAATGTTCATCAACCTCAACCCTTTGGCAATGCCTTCAGCTGGCCCCAAAGCTACACCTTCCACCTAGAATCCAACGGTCAACACCGTTATACACACTTAACGCTATAATATTCGCCCATCGAGAGAGTCAAGAGATAGGAATGTGAACTGTGAATAGTAAGTGTTGGGCGTCGTGGTTGAATGACTCTGAAAAGGCACCCGTGCGTATGGTAGCATGACGTCTTAGGATACCCATGTGTGTCTTAGATGTTTGCGTGGTGATATTTGAAGGAGTCGTGCTATCCGATGCTTGAGGGAGACGGGTCAATGAAATACGATTTGTAGATATGTATCTAAATGCCTGAATGCCCTATGGATGATGTAGTGTCTAGTATCTTGGTAAAGTCGAGTAGATAAGCACGAGTCGGCGCCATGTGGTATAGATAGCGATGTTAATGGGCGCTGCTGCATTTGATTACGATAAAATATTGCATTGATCGGTGCCCAAAAATGTTTACTATCAAACGCTTTCAGGCTATTGACTCTGCGAGCAATCACTTCACCGAAAGCTTGGATACCAGAAATAAATCGTCAAATTCATTGATAACCACGAAACGTATATTAACTTATTATAGGACTCCAAAGAAGAATCTAGTGAAAGTCACCAATAAATGATCTGTCATTGAAATTACGCTATGACTGCTCCTCCAGATAATCGTTAGATTGTAACGAAACTGATGGATTATATCAGTTTCGTCCACCTTCCCTCTCATCAAAACGCTCACGAATGGATCTGTAATCTGTATCATTCTTTGCATCTGTACTCTCAAAAGCATATCCACTATCCACCTGTTTACATTACTATGCATAATCCAAAGGAGTCAGGAGCCGCAGGCTGTTTTGAAGAGCCTCAGAGGCGGCTAACTGTATCCCTTGACAGTGCTGTTAGTCACGCCCATGGATCCATGAAGTGCACTGCGTTTTGGGTAACAAAAACCACCCTGATCAATGGACCATAACCAGCCTTCCCTGTGCCGTTCATCGTCTAATCGCTGATAGATATATGGTCTAGGATTATTAATTTTCGTAAATGATAGAAGGCGGTGAATGACGATTCTCGGTGCTGTAATAAAAAGGGAACAAAATTATCGTAGCATGATGGGTAAGTAAAGTTACTTTGTTCTTACTAACGCCATCGGCGGCTTGTATTCAACCGATATCTCGAAGTGTTCTACATAGTAATGTTGTTATTGTTCTTCATGAATTTGTGACGTAGGTCTCTTATCATCGGTAAAAAGACAACAGGACAGAAAAGCTAAGCTTCAGCTATACACTGGTCGCATACTTACACTAATGCTACAATGACTAGGAGACAGTTCTCCACAACAAGGGAACACAAGCTTTCCTCTCTCTGCGTGGGGCTAGTTACTTCCGGTCGGAAGTGAGCACTTCCGGAAGCGTGGGAAACTACCGACTCTGCGTGCGTGTGGGCGTGTGAAATTATCCGTGTCTCGCGTCTAGGATGACACTTTGACAAATTATAAATGAGGCGAATAACAGCTCCTGCTTGAAGCTGCTTTTCGCTTTTTGTTGAGTAAATTGCTAGAAGCTTGTGCAGAATCTACTTCTTAGCGTTTTGGTAAAAAATGTTTGTTTGACTTTAACTTTTTGAAGATAACAGGAAACACCATAAGAGTTCAAAATAGCAGTTCACCAAAATTCTTAAAAAAATGCTGTTAAGTAGGTACCTAAAGTGTTAGGTACTAATGTTCCGGAAAGTAACTTCGGGCCAAACATACCACCACTGTCTCCAGCCATATATCAACTCGCCTCCCACTCCAATGACCCGTAGCGCTGTGCCACAACGTATGTTCACCACACCGTGACGTCATTGGGCCGAGTGGTGACGTCAGTGGAGCGCGGCGGGGCCGGCAAGTGTCCCAGTAATGGATGGGTAGGGCGGTGGAGCGGAGCCACTGGGACAATCGGTGGCGCCGGTCGAGTGGGGTAGATACAGCTTACAAGGCGAGAAAAGTCGGGTCGAGTTTGATTATGAGAATGGGCTCGAGAGAGTTACATCCCATTACATTATTCGGCGGATCGAGGTGAGCTTTGGTAACTAGGCGAGTCAGGTATAAAATAATATCAAATTATTTGCTTATTCTGTTTAGCCAAACGGAATTGAATCTAAACAAATAAAGTAGACGAGTCGTTTAAAATATATTATTGGGACATACAAATGGAGGCTGTAAAGACCTGTTGACGGTCATTATTGGTTGTCTTTCATTCAAATGAATGCTATTTTGCCTTGGGTATCAGTCACGATTTAATTCATGTTTCTGAAAGGGGCATGGGATCCAGATGGAAAGCCGATCTTGTCCCAGGGTTGAAATTGAACATGCAGCTCGCGTCTAGACCCCTCATTCCATCCGAACCTTTCGGCTGGAATCGTCAAGCCATCCCGAATCACGAACTCTTTCTGACGACCATAGCACTGGCCTGGTTACACTCAATCCGTTATCAAATCGACCGTATCTGTTCAGCTAGTTACCGTGACTGCCCGTCACATCTGGCCACAACTTGGCGAGTGTAACGATGTGGCACCGGCTTTAGCCTAGATAAGATCAGAAGTTGGGCCGAAATCTAGGCTAACAGGGTGCATTATTCCCGCATTGGCCCATATGTCTCCGGAAGATGAAATGACTTGTGGTCTTTTGCGGTACAATTTCGACAACAGATCCGTCGAAGCATCATGGTTGTTCATAAACACCATGATATTGCGAATCTATTGAGAAGTATGCCTCGGGGAAACTGCACCGCATTCGACAAGCATTTGTTGTCAGACCATACTGAGCCAAAGCTAGCCACACGGGAGATGTTTTGCCACATCAGAACGTACCGTGAGTTGTCAAAAGTGACGTGTAATTTATGTCAGTAGCGTGATGTTATCTTGCAGCGACGACGTGCGAAAGTGATGCGTCATTGTAGCTATCACGCGAAATGACGGATGCCTCGTAGGGGAAAGTGGGTGGTATTGCGCCCTCCTAACCAATTGCGCCCACCAACATTCCCACGGATTCAATGGCATGTTTATAATTTTGTGTTCGAAAACAATATTTTCACCACCGGATAGTTCATTTTATGGTCCAAGCTCTCCGACGAAGCCAATCAGCAGGGCTCATTACGCCGTCAAAGATATTACGGCGTTTTCTTAGCTTTTTTGCAGTATTTTTAACCGTTGGCTATAAAAATATGTGATACGTGTGTGATTTTCAGAGTGATATTTAGAAAGAAAATCCCTTTTTTCATTATATTTCACTTCAACAGTAAACTTCCTTCAGTATATTTATGATAACTTCTACGCTTTTATTAAAAGGTACCTCAATTTTAATTGCGCCCATGGCAATTGCGCCATGGGGGCGCAAATAGAATAATGGTGTAGCTATTGCATCACGACAGTATGAATGCATCATTAACTGATTGCAATAAAGAAAGAGTCAAATGCCAGGCAGGGGAGCAGCCCGCTGTCGCCAGTCCGCAAATTATTTCTCTCGTCAAACTTATAATGCAGCTGCCATTTAGGCTGCGAATT